CTTTTAGGATGTACTAGAACTGTAAGAAAATTTATAACTTGTGTGCATAAGAACTTTGCTAGACGCTGTATGAATTTTCATATGAATAAACTTTTAAAGAAAAATTATAAAGAATCATTGTGATCAATTGATAAAGAGTTTTCAGGTAGAAAGATTTTTGATATTATTATTATATTGCTTATTGTTATTATTATTATTATGTATATGCCATAATTATCACTGATCAAATAAACTCTTAAGTATACTTGTCACATAAAAGACAGAGCTGATTAAGTAGCCCACGAAGAGACTATCTATTGCTATTTATTGTTGAAACGAATTTGTTATTCTAATTTGTATTGCGAAGGTCATGAGAAAGTGGACTGGTGTGAATAAGAAATTCTTCGTAATGAAATGAAAATGCATGTTGTCTAAGTCTAGGTAAAAGTGATTAAGAGTTTTATTGTAAATAGCATTGTTCTTCATATGGTTGAATCGGAGAAGTAACTGTATTTGATGAAATAATTGTATTTGGTGAAGTAATTGTATTTGTTTCCATATATTTTGACTTCTTTGCAGGATGACCCGATCCCTGTTTCTTATACTTACCAGGATGTTCCATAACGACATTGCTGGCTCAGCGTCCTACTGTTGTACGTACCTCTGACTTATTCACATCCTGTCTATATATTGAAAATAGACGACTTTTCCCTATCTCATAGCAACTAAAAAGATTTTTGAATCCTTCATCAGTGTTTTGTGTCGTATTATTGAGCAGATCGTGCTGAGTAGGATCTGAAGATCCAAATATCTCTTCAAGAAGGTCAACTAGCTTCCATAAAGCTTCTTTTCTAGACTTCATATTGCGATCAGTATGAGAAAGAAAATTGTCTCCTACATATTCACTAAGTAAAAGATTTAGCCTATCTCTTTCACTTTGTACAGAAAATATTTGTACCTTCAGATCATTACCATTCTCTAAATTCCTTCCAATATTCTCCTTTACATATTTTACGCCAAAGCGTTCTAATCCTTCATCATATGCAAAGAAGTGTCCTGGATGGGTAAGATTAACTGAGGCAACTTGACTTAATATTGATCGTAAGGAGAGATTTCTTAGCATATAATGTATATAGAATGTAACTGACTGAGAATAATTTGAACGTTTAGCCACTGAAAACAATGGTGCAAACGCAATAAGATTTTCTAATTGTATTTCAAAATTCCCATGTCTTATTCCAAGCTGATGACCAAGCCAGAAGCTAGTCCAACGAAAAAAAAGGCTCCAAACTCTCAATATATGATTCTTTTTCATTAATTCTTCTGCACTTTCCCCTTTTTTTTGTATATATTTATGAATCGCAACACCCACTCCTACCCACAATAGCTCGAGAACCCTGCAAGCTGCAGAATAATCAACTGCCTGTTCTAGTTTGTCTAAATAAAGGACGTCTAATATACTTGATAATTTAAATATTCCATATCCTGAGAATATTCTTACAAGTGTAACACACATTACTTTACTTGTGTGCCATCCACCTAAGAGAAAGTTCAATTC